AGTAAGAATGTATTTGACTCTCTTTCAACTCTATAATAACAAAAATTTTGTGCACATTACTTTCTTTTTTTCTTTTTCTTTTTGTTTTTATCAAATTTGATTCATAGTTCAAATCCGACTTCATTTAGTGGAGTGACGGTACAAGTCACCGAATGGATAATGTTCAATGGCAATCCAAAAGAGTCGTATTAGATAAATATATCTCATGCATTCTCTGACTGAAGAAATATTTTTGGAGGAAGGAAAAACTATGTGCTTTCATTGTAGCATTGCATGGGTCATAAAATGTTAACAAGGACTCCTGCACTCTTTATATATAGTGGGTGCCACTTAAAAAAGAAGACTTGGAAGACATGGTAGTTCCACAACCAAGCAACCTAACTCAACCTACCATAATTATCTTTTTGCCTACCCAATTCACTGGTACTTAACATGAGATTAAGAAGATACGTAGATTAAATTATTACACTAAGTACTCCTTGTGAATGAAATAACCTTAAATTTTGAGTCTTAAAGTTATATAATTCCAATGAATCTCCCATATATGTAGAATTTTTAATGCAATAATTCAATAATAGTTGAAGAAAAAAGCATAGTAATGCTTATCTTTATGTGTTTCAAACATTCAAAAGACCTTCCAGATCACAAGTGTGGAGGAATGAGGAGTTCGGTGCGGAGAACTCACAGCCACATGAATGGAGAAGAGAGAGAGGAGGAGGGGAAAGAAAATGATTGATAAGTACAAAAACCTCCTTGGTTTCTTCTATGTTACACCTAATCCTGCGGATTATGAGAAAAGTTTTTTGGAGTTTTGTTGCTAAATTATATTCACGAATTCACTTATTATTAAGCTTGATTTTGTGTTTCCTAGTCTGTCGGGATGTTAGATGAGTGTTGCTTTGTTTTTTGGGAGAATTACGCATACATTATCTGAAGTTTGTCAATTAATTACTTAGATCTCTTGACATTTGAAATATTACACACAGACCCTTTGAGGTTTGTACGCGCGTAACACTTAGGCCTGTTGTAAATATATCAGTTAATAAATTATACTTAGACCCCCATGAAGTTTGTAGGTATATAATACATAGACCCCTTAAGTTTAAAAAATTATACTTAGACAAAAAATATTGCAATCAAAAATAAAATAATATAAGAGACTTAGAACCCTTATTTGATTTTTTAGTTTTGTTCCAATAAATAGTATAATTGTATACTAATTACGATTTTTTAAAAAAAAATTAAAATTAAATTTTTTAATTTTATTTCAATAAATGATACAATAGAACATGACTTTTGGTTGTAAAATTTAAAATATTGGATATTCTATATTTGATTAGAGTATTTGTGGTCTAACTATAATATTTTAAACTTAAGGGTCTAAGTATCATATACTTACAAACTTTAGAGAGTTTAAGTGTAATTAATAAATAGATATATTTACAACAAGGATCTAATGTTATGCGTATACAAACCTCTGGAGGTCTGTATGTAATATTTTAAATGTGAGAGTCTAAGTAATTAAATGACAAATTTCAGAAATTCTAGGTGTAATTCTCCCTTATTTTTTTCTTAGTGAGTCGTTTGCCTAGCCTAAGAGTGCGACTCTCAAGTCAAAGTATGATTTTATTGCATTTGACATGCATGTATCAAACTTTGTATACCCACAAAAATCATGATAGAAAAATAAACTTATTTGTTAGAAATTTATGTATCTCATAACCTTTTCATATATCACAAGCTCACCTCAACATAATGAAGTTTTAATCCATGATCAGCTGGAATTGGATGGTAATCTTAACCCATCCATAAATAAATGGGTTGGATACCTATATTAATTAATACGAGTTTTAAATGGGTGGGATAATATGATTTATTTTAATTAAGAGGGTTAATATGAATTATAAAATTGGTATCCATTGAGTTAAGTACTTATCTTTCTATTAAATAACACAAGTAATAAAATTAAATGAATATACCAATATACCAAAAAATTCACACACTAATACACTAAAAAATCTACACATATACATTAATACACCAAAACACACACACACACACACACACACTAACACACCAAAAAATAAAATAAGAGTTCAATTATTTTATGGATTAATGGGTTTAATCTAATCCGGTATAGACCGAACTCATTATAACTCATTTAATATATAAGTGAAAAATAAATTAGATTTACTTTAACCCAACTCAATTTAACCTAACTCATCTATGTGCCACCTCTATTTAGAATTAACTTACTTATCACTTCATGATTTTTTATTTATTTTTTACTTTTTTTACTACTTTTTAGGTAGCATTTGTATTTATACGTTTGTTTGTTTTTTTTTAATCCTTGTACAGACTTACTCAATTTTTTCAAGCTTTATGTACAAGTGTATTATTGGTATATATCACTTTTATTATAAAGCAATAGCATACGATAGACTTGTTTTTCATAAAACGTCGCTTTAAAAAATTGACAAAAAATGGGAATAACGTGGAGAAGAGTGCAATCTGTAGGAATCTATCAATAACCCACCAAAAAAAAATAAAGGGTTAATTACAAGTTGCACCTTAAAAGATAGTTAAAATTTCAAATTATACCGCCAAAGATAAAAAATTTTAATTTATACCCACAAATATATAAATTTGTATCAATGTTCACTCCCAAAGATAAAAATCTCAATTTGCACCCTTAAAAATAGAAATTTGTATCAATATGCACCTAAAACTAAATTGATAAATTATACCTAGATCCCTTCATGCTTGTCACTTAATTATTTGGACCCCTTCACATTTAAAATATTACTCTTACATCTCATGACATTTGTGCACATATAACACGTAATCCCTTTTCATTGCTATCTATTAATATAATCGTTAAAAAATAAGTTTTTATCTNCTTCACATTTAAAATATTACTCCTACATCTCATGACATTTATGCACATATAACACGTAATCTCTTTTCATTGCTATCTATTAATATAATCGTTAAAAAATAAATTTTTATGTTAATAAAACATTATAATTTCATATTACCCTTTATTTTGTGGGTTCGATACACTCAAAAGTTTAAAGTCAAACTTACCATTGGATATTATAATTTTTTATTAGGATAAAATCATATTTTTTAACGGTTATATTAACAGATATCAATGAAGGGGGTTACATGTTACGCGTGCACAAACGTCATGAGATGTAGGAGTAATATTCTAAATGTGAAGGAATCTAAATGATTAAGTGACAAATATAGGGGGTCTAGATATAATTTATCAATTTAATTTTAAGTGCACATTGATACAAATTTCTATCTTTGATGGTGCAAATTGAGATTTTTATCTTTGGGGGTGCACATTGATACAAATTTCTATCTTTGAGGGTATAAATTGAGATTTTCTATCTTTGGGGGTTCAATTTGAGATTTCAACTATCTTTGAGCGTGCAATTTATAATTAACCCAAAAATAAAATGAAAACCATGCATGGATTACAAGCTGAAATCGTCAACACGTGTGGGACCCTCAAAGTTAGACTCAGACCTCCACCGGCCCAAAAATTCAAAGGTCCACTCTTCCCCCCCTCAAGAATTACCAAATTCCACGCCAAAACCATCCCATGTTTATGGTGCGTTACATATAAATCCCTCTTTCTATTGGATATTCAGAATCCTAACCGAAACTTCTGACATTGGTCCTAAAAAATTCTTATATTTTTAAATTCTGCCCATTAAAAGATCATTTATATATTCTCTAGACATTTTTTTTTTGGGAGTGGGAGTGGGAGAGAAAATTTGAACCCTTAACTTTAAGAAAACAGAGTTTTTATAAGGTAAAAAATATCATTGTACTAAAAGCCNCTAGACATTTTTTTTTTGGGAGTGGGAGTGGGAGAGAAAATTTGAACCCTTAACTTCAAGAAAACAGAGTTTTTATAAGGTAAGAAATATCATTATACTAAAAGTCCGTTAATATAGCCTCTAGATTTTAGCTCAGCTCAACTTATCAAAGTTTTGTTCTAATATTTTTGAAATATGATACATGGATCCCGTTTCATCATTATACTCTATTGAGGGACATGTTTTTTATTAAATTGCGAGTGATCATATCTTGTTCTTATAATTTTATTTAAAATTTATTTTAATTTTTTTTAACTCTATGTTTATCGCCAATAACTATAATNCCGTTAATATAGCCTCTAGATTTTAGCTCAGCTCAACTTATCAAAGTTTTGTTCTAATATTTTTGAAATATGATACATGGATCCCGTTTCATCATTATACTCTATTGAGGGACATGTTTTTTATTAAATTGTGAGTGATCATATCTTGTTCTTATAATTTTATTTAAAATTTATTTTAATTTTTTTTAACTCTATGTTTATCGCCAATAACTATAATGTCATTGTTTTTCACTAGGATTGTACTGCATTGCTATAAATATGTTCAAACCATCTAAATAGATTATATCTTAATTTATCTTCTATGTATGCATTCTCATTTTTTGCGAACGAACTTAATTTTATTTCCAAATTCAGTATCTTTGTTATTTGACCTAATTAGAGGGGATNATGTTTATCGCCAATAACTATAATGTCATTGTTTTTCACTAGGATTGTACTGCATTGCTATAAATATGTTCAAACCATCTAAATAGATTATATCTTAATTTATCTTCTATGTATGCATTCTCATTTCTTGCGAACGAACTTAATTTTATTTCCAAATTCAGTATCTTTGTTATTTGACCTAATTAGAGGGGATCATGTCAATTTTTTCTTTTTTTTGGTCAGATGTGAATTTTTTTCCAATACCTAATTATTAACACTTGTAATCAATAGTCAATCACGCTGGTTGACCAAATCAACGTCACCTCTAATCTTTGACCATCCCACCTCCCTCTCCCCCAACACCCTATATAGCCTCCTCCCTACCCTCTGCCTTCCAAATCTCTCTCTCTCTCTCTCTCTCTCTCTCTCTCTCTCTCTCTCTCTCGTATTGGCAGAAATGGTGAAAGAAAATAGCGAAGGGTTATACGTCACCGTCCCGAGTTTTTTCCGATGTCCGATATCCATGGACGTCATGAAGTCTCCGGTGAGCCTCTGCACCGGAGTGACATACGATAGGAGCTCCATTCAGACTTGGCTGGGCCAAGGCCACAAGACCTGCCCCGCCACCATGCAGGTCCTACAGTCCACTGACGTTGTCCCTAACCTCACCCTTCGCCGCCTGATCCATATCTGGTCCGACTCACTGGATTCTAATGTCGCCTCTACTTCATCAACTCCGATCATCTCGAAGCAACAAGCCGTAGATTTTATCAAAAGCTTCGCTAACAAGAAAGCCGATAACTATTCCTGTAATCTTTCTAAAATCGTGGATTTCGCGAAGTTCTCCGACGATAATCGAGAATTTCTGGTGAATCTGAACTATTTTGTCCCGATTACAGTTGCAGTTCTGAAAAATGCTGCTGATGAAATTCACATTTGTGAATCGGTCATCGCACTGTTCGATTTGACTTTATCTGAAAAAGGAGTCAAAGAGCAACTGAATACATCACTAATCAAAGGTGATCGAGACTGTTTATCTCCATTCATTTTACTTCTTCGGAAAGGAAGCTTAAATTCGAAGATTCAATCAGCTAGGGTTTTGGATTCAATCGCGTTAGACGCCCAATCTCAACGCATAATCACCGAAAAACAAGGTTTACTGTACGAACTGTACCGTTTAATTACCTCCGAGACCGATCGGACCGCTCTCGAAGCCGTTTTGTCATTGCTAATCACAATATCAACCTCCAGACATGTGAAAAAAGAGCTCGTCCGATTCGGAATCGTACCGACCGTAGGGAAAATCCTCTCCGGTTCTGATTCAGCCGGAACGACCATGGACGAGAAGGCTTTGAAGCTGCTTGAAATGGTGGCCACCTGTACGGAAGGACGGACGGCGATCTGCGACGACGAGAGATGCATAACTGCGATTGTGCATAGGTTGATGAAGTGTTCGAGTGTGGCGACGGAGCACGGTGTTACGGTGATCTGGAGGGTGTGTTGTTTAGCGCGTGATAAAAAAGCGCGTGAGGTGGTCATGAGATCAAACGGTTTGACCAAAATGTTGCTGGTGATGCAGAGTGGTTGCTCTGGGAGGGTGAGCCAGATGTGTGCCGACTTGGTCAAGGTGTTACGAGNAGGTTGATGAAGTGTTCGAGTGTGGCGACGGAGCACGGTGTTACGGTGATCTGGAGCGTGTGTTGTTTAGCGCGTGATAAAAAAGCGCGTGAGGTGGTGATGAGATCAAACGGTTTGACCAAAGTGTTGCTGGTGATGCAGAGTGGTTGCTCTGGGAGCGTGAGCCAGATGTGTGCCGACTTGGTCAAGGTGTTACGGGTTAATTCCAAGTCGTGTTTGGCGGTATATGACACTAAGACCACTCATATCATGCCGTATTGACTTTGATTGTAGTGGTTGATTACAATTTGTTCAAACTAATTCTTTTTTTTTCCCTCTCTTTTTGACAATTTAGGTATACAAAAGATGTAAATCAAAAAGGAAAATTTGTTTTGACTTGAACACAGAAAAATTAATTGAATTTTACGTTGTTTAATCTTCTTCTTTCTTGGATNATTGACTTTGATTGTAGTGGTTGATTACAATTTGTTCAAACTAATTCTTTTTTTTTTCCCGCCCTTTTTGACAATTTAGGTATACAAAAGATGTAAACCAAAAAGGAAAATTTGTTTTGACTTGAACACAGAAAAATTAATTGAATTTTACGTTGTTTAATCTTCTTCTTTCTTGGGTTTGAATTTTTCTAAGAGAAAATTCTTTGTCTAAGTTCAATTCATGAGGATTCCCCGGTCCCTAGTTGATCTGATCAACCCTCGACACACAAAGAGTCCAACTAAAGAGGAATGTATGGTTTCCTGGCAGTTTATGGGAAGGACAATCGCAATCCCCCTCCCTCTAATCTAACCCTACCTCCCTCGTTCAGACCTGTCGGTACAAGTCATTGTGGAGTTAAGGTGGGTTGTCAATGAATCGATACGTTCACGAATAGTATGAGAATATTTAGATAAAAACTGTATAAGTTTACTCATCAATCAAATAAATTGAACTCTAGTTTAATTTAAATTTCATCTAATTAACAAGCCAATCTTGTACAATGACTTGCTTGGCTTGTGAACTTTTCTATTTCTGCGCATGAATAGATGTGTGTATATTATGTGTAGTATATTATACAAAATATTATATACGGAGAAGAGCTTGATACTAAACCCAAGCTTGATTAAATTAATTAGACAAAGTCAAGCAACANTATAAGTTTACTCATCAATCAAATAAATTGAACTCTAGTTTAATTTAAATTTCATCCAATTAACAAGCCAATCTTGTACAATGACTTGCTTGGCTTGTGAACTTTTCTATTTCTGCGCACGAATAGATGTGTGTATATTGTGTATAGTATATTATACAAAATATTATATACGGAGAAGAGCTTGATACTAAATCCTAGCTTGATTAAATTAATTAGACAAAGTCAAGCAAGAGCTTAAATAAATATAATAAATAATAAATGAGTTAAGCTTGCGTAGGATCTTTGAGATCTTCAACTTAACAAAAACGCTTGTCATAAACGAGCAAGTTTTAATATTGATAATTTGGTACTCTACTTAATTCGGTTCCTTTATACTTTTAGTTGGGAATCGAGAGNGATTAAATTAATTAGACAAAGTCAAGCAAGAGCTTAAATAAATATAATAAATAATAAATGAGTTAAGCTTGCGTAGGATCTTTGAGATCTTCAACTTAACAAAAACGCTTGTCATAAACGAGCAAGTTTTAATATTGATAATTTGGTACTCTACTTAATTCGGCTCATTTATACTTTTAGTTGGGACTCGAGGGNGGCCAAATAGCCTGCCAAAGATCAAAATGTTAATATTGACAGGTAAGAACTTGCACAAAGCACATAAATATATCGGACACTAGAAGATTACCCTGCTCAGATCAGTCAATGGTTGCTTCAGGCTGAGTTTCAGAAAAGGACATTGAAGTCAAATTTAACGATGGGTTAGTTCCATCCAGCTTCTACCNGGGTTAATACTGGGCCGGCCCAAGAATACTTGAGGTACTGAGCAAAATTTTTAGATGAGGACCTAAATTATTTTTAGATGAATAATTTATTTATTTTTAAATTTTAAATATTTAAATTCATATCTCTTAGTGTGTATATTTAAAGTGAAAAATAAACATGTTATATAACTGATTATATTAAAAATAAGTTAACACNTTAAATTTTAAATATTTAAATTCATATCTCTTAGTGTGTATATTTAAAGTGAAAAACAAACACGTTATATAACTGATTATATTAAAAATAAGTTAACACAAAAATCATAGATCAAGAAAATAAAATTGAATAAATATGTCAGAGTTAATGTAACCAGATAAAATAAAAGCATAGAGTCTTGTTATTTTGTGTACAATAATATGTTGTGATCTTTTTTTTTTTCTTTTTAATTGTACATATATTTATGATTTATTGAAAAATATTTTTAAAATCTTTTTGATCATTTACGAAACATCCTAAACTTTGTTAAAAATTTTATTCACATAATTTTATGAGACATACGTGAACGGGAAGTGAGGGCCCTAGGTGACATTTGGCTACGGATAGAGCCGGCACTGGGTTAATAGAGTTAAAACTCAAATGTAAATACCCATAATATCGCGATTTTTTTATTTATCTGATGTTTTTTACCACCGTGCCAAATAAAAGAGCCTGTCAAACCAATTAAGTGATTGTATTGAAATTTATAAGACAGTATGAGGATCAAAGTCCATTGTATGGTAGTAAACGTAGAATCAGAGGAAGAAAGAAACAATGAAACTGAATTTCTTGTCTTATTCTTTGTAATGGAGAGAGAGAGTCTCTAATCATTTTTTTTTATATGGTACAAAGAACACAAACACAAAAGACCCGTCGAATATGGCTGGAATAGTTGTTGAGATTAGTTAATTCAACAATTATTTCTTGGACTAATGATTTCAAATGTTTAGACTACATTAGCTACAACAGACGACCTTTTAAATTTTTGAAAAAGTCCAACTTCAAAATGTTGACGACTTATTACCAATTTTGGCTCTAGTAATTATTAAACTCTTTCGTGAAATTCGCATTTTCTACCTAAAATTTATCCCCAATTTAATTCCATCCCTGTCGTTTAACCCCAATCACCATTAAGTAACAAGCCGAGGAAGAGAAGCGTGCACACAGGAACACACATATATAGAGATATCGATTGAGATATTCTCTATTACATATTAGTGAGTTTTTAATCAACGATACATCGTCTAATAAATTCAAATGAGTTCAATGCTTATAAGTGACCCCCTCACCTGAGTGACTTACCATTGAATAAAATTAAATAATAAAAATATAATAAAGAAGATCTGAATCAGAGAGAGATTAAATTCAAGAGTCTGCATACCACTTATTTTCATGAAGATGATAGTGACAGAGAGCAACAAGCCATTCTCTAAATGAAGCCATTAGGCAAAAAAGTAGAGCAATGGTGTGCTCAACCAAGATTGGTACAGGAGAGTAAAACAGAGGAGAAATGACAAGCAATATGCAGCCCAACACCAACGAATCACGTATCATATGGCTTTCCTACCAACCACTAAAACCTCTTGGAATCTACATTTTTGTTCAGGTTAGCATAAGCAAGCAGGTATCATTTATCTGCTTAACCTATGTATTCGTAGACCCGGTTGCAATTCACCTTCTCCATCCTAAAAAATAATCCACATAACCCTTAGGTGCTTAATTGGAAACAAAGTGGAGTATTGGCTCCATTTTGATCCAAACCTAAGGCACAAAGCTAATTAAGAACAGAAAAGGCCTACATAATGCTAACATTCCAATCAAAGGTAAGAGACACAAACACAAAGAAAAGTAAAAGCGCACATAGACAAAAAAACACAAAACAAGCAGAGACGTTTACTAAATTCAAAGTGGAAACGTAAACCAGTAAATGGTAGACATCCCAGGATATGAATCACCCGTTTTGGGTCGATTTGTTGGCCGAGGGGGCCTTGTAATCATGGTTAGCGAATGGAGAGCATCNGTGCTAAAACTATGACTGAGCAGTTCATGAATAGCAGCATTGAAGCCCAAACACAAATTGGGAAGACTATGAAAGGCCAAATAGCCTGCCAAAGATCAAAATGTTAATATTGACAGGTAAGAACTTGCACAAAGCACATAAATATATCGGACACTAGAAGATTACCCTGCTCAGATCAGTCAATGGTTGCTTCAGGCTGAGTTTCAGAAAAGGACATTGAAGTCAAATTTAACGATGGGTTAGTTCCATCCAGCTTCTACCACAAAGAAGAGAAACAAACTGCTATAACAAACATCTCTATCAGCAGTAATATAATGGTACCAATCACGTTCTCATCAGTATTCATAATCCAAAAGATCCACGTGCAAGCAATCATTCTTAATCCAGCAGCAACATTCGACATTCAAACAGAAAAAAGAACCAAACAAAAGTTGAGCAACTTCATCAACTGAAAAAGTTGAACAAAACATACGCATGTGAAATCTGAAACTGGCAGGAAAAGATATGGTAAAACTTGAAATTGATCTGGAGACTCCATCTCTTGCTGTCACATCATCCCCAATAACACTATCTTCACCGATACAGCTGAAAAAGAAACGAATAGGGAACCATTAATTTACTGACAGTGATAATATAAAAGTTAGCACAAAACAGCAATAGTTGCATACCACAGACATAGCCATCACTTCATCAAGAATGAAAAACTCCTGATCCATGGCGATCATATAGACCTAAACGATCACGATTATATCTATCATTTCCTCATCCTCCTCGACTACCACCATCCCTATTGCATCCACCAGTACGATCAGGTCCGTAGCAACAATCAAGCATAGGTCGTGCTGAGAAAGGAACCAGCGACGTGAACAGCCGGAAGTATGACTTCGACATTGCAAAGGCCAATCAAATCTTTGACCATTTGTTAGTAGATGGCATTATCGTGCTGTTATTTGGTTATAAGATCCCGTCGGCCTCAGAGCTGGAGAACAAAACGTACTTCAAGTGGCTTAATTTGTGGAGCCATTCTACTGCGAATTGTGTGGTGTTCCAAAACGCCATCTAGGATGGCCTCACAAAAGGCCACTTAATCTCCAGGGACAAATGGAAGCTGGAGATGGGGGTCGACAGTGACCCGTTCCAAAAGACGGCTGCCATAAACATAGCAGAAATGGGGCAATCAAAGACCCCACGGAAAATGGTTGATTTGTAGGATGAGATGTCAATTGATGAAGAAGTGCCTAGGGGAAAGAAAGACGGTGGACCCCAGGGTGAGTCGTCAAAAGAGAATTTTGGGGGAAATCCTTATATTTCGTCAGGTCTCTAAGAGAAGAACGGTCTATGTCCCAAGTGTAAAGCCTTTTACGGGATCATTACNCTTATATTTCGTCAGGTCTCTACGAGAAGAACGGTCTATGTCCCAAGTGTAAAGCCTTTTACGAGATCAATTCAAAACACGATGAAATTGAGGAAGTGCGAACAGAGTTAGTCCAAAGGCCATGCAAGAGGTGGCAGTACAAGGGAACTCACTACGAGCGACCGGGTGCCTAAGCGACGCCAAGAGGCGCGGCCGAGCAAGTTTTTGAGGCTAAGTTACAGAGAGCATGGTAAAAACATACTGGAACCCTCCGGATCCTCACCCACTTCCACTTCCATGATCACGGTCCTCATCCCAGTCTCAACCAGAGCCTTGGTTTGGCTGATCTTTATCTACTGAAATAGCCCACCCATCTAAATCCATTCCATTCATTTCCTAAATGGCATCTTCCATAGCTTTCTCTTCATCAAAGGAAACAAATCCAAATCCATGAGAGCGGCCAGAAGACTTGTCAATGACAACCTGAAAAATAAAACGGATATGCAAACTCTTCGGCTTGGTTTGCCCAATCAAAAGCAAAGCCCAAATTGGGAGAAGAAATTGGCCAGATTACAGATATTTGACACAGCTTCCAAATACAGAAAATCACAGAGATTGAATTCAAAACAGAACCCCTACTTGGAACGAAGAGCATATTAAAGTTCAAAATTCAATAACTAATACTATTCATCGTGATACGAGTGTTGGTTGCCATCAGCCCATGCGTTTTTTTTATCAAAGCTGACAATGTAGAGTTGTTGGCCACCATAAGAGAAAACACCTCTTCACCCTTGTCTGCCCCGCACATTCAAAAGAATACTAGAAGTTACAAAAATATAGTATTGTCAGACACCCAATGCTGGTCACCACTAAAACAATATACCTAATTTCCATATGCCTTTATATCTAGCAAGAATAATTGAAATTATTAAGAGCAAGAGCCAAAATCTTTTTTAATTAATATTCAGAAAAAAATGGAAAATCCTTCCCAACTACATTTGAATGTTGACATTCAACATCCACGGGAAGGAACCTCCTCTCAGCTTCAGAGCAAAGGAAGTTCTTGGCATAGACACCACAACTTGTGAAAACCAGCAATGTAAAGCCATATAAAGAAATAAGAACGGATGCACGTACTGTTCATCTTTATGAAGAACAGAGCCCCAATTTAAGGAAGTACAAAGGAAAAAAAAAAACAAAAACATCTCGAATCACAGAATACCTTGGCATCAAGAAGATGACCAAACTTTCCAAATGCTTCTTTCAATCCTCTGGCACTTGTTGACCACGAAAGGTTTGCAACAAAACAACGGTACTCTTCTTCTTCCATCACCTTATACTGAAAAAGCAAAAATATAAAGGATTAAGAGGATGAGAAGGAATACCCCATGTAGAAACATGCATCCCAGCTCTACAGATCTTAAAAAGGAATATACAGGTATGATGGTCTAATCAGATAATACAATAATACTNCGGCTGCCATAAACATAGCAGAAATGGGGCAATCAAAGACCCCACGGAAAATGGTTGATTTGTAGGATGAGATGTCAATTGATGAAGAAGTGCCTAGGGGAAAGAAAGACGGTGGACCCCAGGGTGAGTCGTCAAAAGAGAATTTTGGGGGAAATCCTTATATTTCGTCAGGTCTCTACGAGAAGAACGGTCTATGTCCCAAGTGTAAAGCCTTTTACGAGATCAATTCAAAACACGATGAAATTGAGGAAGTGCGAACAGAGTTAGTCCAAAGGCCATGCAAGAGGTGGCAGTACAAGGGAACTCACTACGAGCGACCGGGTGCCTAAGCGACGCCAAGAGGCGCGGCCGAGCAAGTTTTTGAGGCCGAGTTACAGAGAGCATGGTAAAAACATACTGGAACCCTCCGGATCCTCACCCACTTCCACTTCCATGATCACGGTCCTCATCCCAGTCTCAACCAGAGCCTTGGTTTGGCTGATCTTTATCTACTGAAATAGCCCACCCATCAAAATCCATTCCATTCATTTCCTAAATGGCATCTTCCATAGCTTTCTCTTCATCAAAGGAAACAAATCCAAATCCATGAGAGGGNACAGCACCCCCAAAAGAAACAAAAACAAACTGGCAGCCCTGGATGCCAAATTTATTAAGGTATTTGTACAAGGGAAGTGTCATAAAAAAAATGAGCTTGAAAATTACTACAACACATCTGCCATAAGTGTAGGTAAGCTGAAAGTTTCATGAAACATCTGCTGATATCTAAAACGAACGGTTCACAAGAGAAGAAGATTTATAGATTCTGTTAATATGGTAAGAACAAGTTCATCCCCTTGGACAAAAACACCAAGCAACAGCAATGTTTGCATCAATGTAAGAGTGGACACATTGGAAAACAATGAGAAGCAGCTCCTAAAAAGTTATTTCTGACAAATTGGAAAAAAATAACGAGAAGAAACTCATAAAAAGATTTACACTCTGTCTCTAAACAAGACTAATTGCATTCATATCCTCCATTTACTGTGCGGCAAAGTGCGCGCAGGGGATTGTAATTAGGTTGCTCTCCCCCCATGATGATCAGTCCAAACAATTACTCCAGATTACGATTTAATCGTAAAAACTTTCAAGTTCCCCAGTTGCTAATACAAGTTTGTGAAAAACCCCAAATCAAAACATACCATCTTCTTATGACCAGAAAACTATCATCTTCATAACAAACAACAGCATGAATCAAACCCAGTTAACTATCTCGAATTCAAGAAACTATAAAGAATATGAATGAGATCTGGTAATAGAATACAAATTATTCATAAACATATATGTACAAGTGCACGAAAATGTAAACCGTAGATGAAGAAATAGAAATTTGAACCTGTATGTAAACGAAGTGTTAGTCACAAAGTGAGACAGCTTCTCTGCCTTTGCATCGAAAGGAAAAACCAAACCCGAACCCGAACCCGAGTCAGACTCCCGAGTGTTATTAAAGGGAATAATGTCACTAACACCCCTAAGCTATACGATAATATCAGAAACGCTCCTTATAGACATTGTTCTCATAATATCTAAACCCCCACCCCCTTCGAACCCCAACTCAACCGAGTATTGTCTGAGTTCCGGTTTAAATAGGGTTACCCAATTCAGACTCTACTTGGGTTGACAATTTGGTTATTGGTATTTTTAGTTTTTAAAATATGCATATTTGGTCAATTTGGTTCTCATTATATTAATTTTTTCAATTTACTTTAATTAGTGTTTAAAGAGTTAATATCATTTTTGATCCCTAAAGTAAGCACATTTTATTAATTTGATCCCTAAGTATCAATTTTGTCAATTTTCGTACCTAAAGTATACAATTTGTATTTAAATGATCTCTACACAAACAGACTATTAAATTTTTATCGGAATAATCAAGTGTTGGTAATGTAATGACGTCTGAAAGAATAACACGTGATCACTTCCGTCAAATAATTTAATGGATCATCTAGTTATGGACCATTTAAAAAATAATTGAATATTTTTTGGACTAAATTGACAAAATTCATATATTAANGGATGAGAAGGAATACCCCATGTAGAAACATGCATCCCAGCTCTACAGATCTTAAAGAGGAATATACAGGTATAATGGTCTAATCAGATAATACAATAATATTNAATATCTAAACCCCCACCCCCTTCGAACCCCAACTCAACCGAGTATTGTCTGAGTTGATTTCGGATAANCTTATAGACATTGTTCTCATAATATCTAAACCCCCACCCCCTTCGAACCCCAACTCAACCGAGTATTGTCTGAGTTCCGGTTTAAATAGGGTTACCCAATTCAGACTCTACTTGGGTTGACAATTTGGTTATTGGTATTTTTAGTTTTTAAAATATGCATATTTGGTCAATTTGGTTCTCATTATATTAATTTTTTCAATTTACTTTAATTAGTGTTTAAAGAGTTAATATCATTTTTGATCCCTAAAGTAAGCACATTTTATTAATTTGATCCCTAAGTATCAATTTTGTCAATTTTCGTACCTAAAGTATACAATTTGTATTTAAATGATCTCTACACAAACAGACTATTAAATTTTTATCGGAATAATCAAGTGTTGGTAATGTAATGACGTCTGAAAGAATAACACGTGATCACTTCCGTCAAATAACTTAATTGATCATCTAGTTATGGACCATTTAAAAAATAATTGAATATTTTTGGGACTAAATTGACAAAATTCATATATTAAAAATTAAATTGACAAAATGCACATATTTTAGAAATCAAAAGTGTTATTAACCTTATATTTTATCTCTATTGATCTAACTAATTCCTAATTATAATAAGTATTGATTAGATTATTGAAAATTATTTTTATTTTTTTCCAAAAATTATAAGTCAAAACCTAATCAAATGAATTTTTATCTTTTTTCTTATAGCCAGAACGTTGAGAACAGACAAAATTTCTTGAATTCTATTGTATAATATGAGCGATAAAAACATAATTTTGATAAACTTGATATAATATTTAATTTAAGTATACATAGACCTAGTATTTTTTATTAATATTTTGTGTATAAAAATTATTCAAGTACAACGCGGTGTATTGTTAGTGTTACACAAATTAGTGGTTGAGTAATTATTGAATTTTACGAGATTCATTTATCCAGTTATTCACTTTTTAGTGGATGATTACACCACATACGAGGTGTAAATGTTACCCTTAATATTTTTCTCTCTTTTTTTTATTAGTTTAATGGTTACGGGTGTCTGAACTAATTTACTCGCACCTTGATTAACTCTTTTTTTTCGATTTGATCAAAAGCAGATCATCCACACCTAAATTAAGATATTTATGAATAAATAAATCTCTCATAATCTGGTCCCAAAAAATTGGTAAAATTCGAACTCCTATTACCAGTTGAGTTACCTTAAGTCATCTCTACTTCTTACTCAAACCCTTACTCAAATATAAATTTGAGTAAAAACAGACTAAAAACAAGTTTTAATATTTGATACAAACTTATACCAAATGAAGAGAGACTTATCTTTTTATTTAAATTAAGGTAGACTTAAATATTTAGTTAAATTTTTANTGAATAAATAAATCTCTCATAATCTGGTCCCAAAAAATTGGTAAAATTCGAACTCCTATTACCAGTTGAGTTACCTTAAGTCATCTCTACTTCTTACTCAAACCCTTACTCAAATATAAATTTGAGTAAAAACAGACTAAAAACAAGTTTCAATATTTGACACAAACTTATACCAAATGAAGAGAGACTTATCTTTTCATTTAAATTAAGGTAGACTTAAATATTTAGTTAAATTTTTAATGGTCAGGTTTCATTATTTTAAAAGATCTAATCATTATATTTTATTTTATTATAAACTTAAATTTACCTTACTTTAAAAATTGAAATTTTTTTTTTGTAAATTTGAATTTATCCATTTAAATTTATATATTAAAAGAGTTTATCACAAGTCAAACTTTTTTTCTCATTTTTTTAGGCAAAGAACATTAGAGATGCCTCAGATTACCCTCAATATTTTCGCACACACACGATTGATATTACCAACGACTCAAAGAGTCTGAGGCCCTTCACTCATTCGACCATCGGCACAACCTTCGGTCATGCCTATCCCCCAAATCGTGTGCCCTGTATCTAGACACGTTCCTAGCTCTCTCTTTCTCGCTGGCCCCCTCCTCTTCCGCCTCCCTNAGAACATTAGAGATGCCTCAGATTACCCTCAATATTTTCGCACACACACGATTGATATTACCAACGACTCAAAGAGTCTGAAGCCCTTCACTCATTCGACCATCGGCACAACCTTCGGTCATGCCTATCCCCCAAATCGTGTGGCCTGTATCTAGACACGTCCCTAGCTCTCTCTTTCTCGCTGGCCCCCTCCTCTTCCGCCTCCCTCCCCATGACCTGTAGCAACAGAACACCCAAATGATACAACATAACACTTCCAATGGAGAATCGAATCGGCACCTCTCTGACCCTCCTATGTCCAAACCCTACTCACAACAACCCTATGCAAGACTTCAATTCCCTTTTCAACCACCTCAACACCACCCTCTTGATCACCCCCAATCGGCAGTCCACAAACCCTAACCAACTCATTCCCAAAACAGAGCAAAACACCAAAAACCTCTCCAATGTCGCACCCAAACTCAAATTCTCCTCCACTTCCATCTCTTTTGAGTCCCAAGTGAAAAAACCAGAAAAAACCATATCACAAAATTGGCTAAAACCGGCCACCAGAGACTCCCCCAAGGTCTCTGCTCTGTTCAAGAACCTCTCTGTTTTCGAAAGAGCTCTCATTGGTGCCGCTGCTGGCGGTATCGCTGGTGCATTCACTTATGTGTGTCTTCACCCGCTCGATACCATCAAAACTAAGCTACAAACCAAAGGGGCGTCAGAACTTTACAATGGTTCTGTTGATGCCATTGTCAAGACCTTTCAAAATAAGGGAATTCTTGGGTTCTATAGTGGTGTCTCAGCTGTGATTGTTGGGTCTACTGCTTCTTCTGCTGTGTATTTTGGGACTTGTGAGTTTGGAAAGTCCATTTTATCGAAATTGCCTGAATACCCATCTGTGTTAATCCCTCCCACTGCTGGTGCAATGGGGAATATTGTGTCTTCTGCGATAATGGTGCCGAAAGAGTTGATCACACAGAGAATGCAGTCTGGTGCAAAGGGAAGGTCTTGGGAGGTTTTGTTGAGAATTTTGGAGAAAGATGGTATTATGGGTTTGTATGCGGGGTATTCAGCTACATTGCTTAGGAATTTACCTGCTGGCGTGTTGAGTTATTCTTCTTTTGAGTACTTGAAAGCTGCTGTGTTGAGTAGGACAAAGCAGGTTCATTTGGAGCCATTTCAGAGTGTATGTTGTGGGGCATTGGCGGGCGCAATTTCAGCCTCTTTGACAACGCCATTGGACGTGGTTAAGACTAGACTGATGACTCAGGCTCATGTCGAGCCTATGAACAAAGTTGCTGCTGCAATGTACAGTGGGGTTTCAGCTACCGTGAAACAAATTTTGAAGGAAGAAGGGTGGGTGGGATTCACCTGTGGAATGGGGCCTAGAGTTCTTCATAGTGCTTGCTTTTCAGCTTTGGGGTACTTTGCATTTGAGACGGCTAGGCTTACAATTTTGAATAAGTATCTCAAGCATAAGGAACTTCAGAATATGTCGGTTGCTCCCATTGTCTCGGAAGATTAAAGTGGCTGTATTTTTGTCTTCGGTACCATGCTGTGTAATTTT